ACCCCCCCCCCCCCCCCCCAATAAAAAAAAAGAAAAGAAAAAAAGAACTGTTGTTCTGTTCTATTGGCCTGAGTATTTTTTTAAAACTCTTTTTTAAGAGTCGAAAGAATTTACTCAGGGGTCTATTAACACTTGGGCAATAGTAAGAGTTTCTAAATACCAATAGAACTACAAGGGTCTATCCGCAATCGGCGACTTTGCAGAGGTTTATCTGCAACTAACCCTTAATTAGTCAACACACTACACCAATGCAGAATGTTTGGGAAAGATGGCCGGGGTACAGAAGACACTATGGACTCTGGTTAGAATGGTTTGAAATTGTTGGCACGTGCAAACAGTGAGCAAGTATGTTGAATGGACATGGATGGAAGAAAATCATACAGAGGGCTAGATATAGAAAATTATAGAGGGAGGAAGGAGACAGTGACAAGTTTCACATTGCCAATTCTAGATCAGTGCAGTTAGTATACAGTACCAGGGAAATCACTATCAGTGCAAACATAATATTGTATCAGTGCAATCATCAAATGCAGAAACAAACTTTCCACCATATGCTGGTCTATAGAACATGGCATACGACTTGATTGTCTGTGCAATAAGAACACGAGAAAGCAACTTCAAGCATTTCTTTTCCACCATATATTAACCACAGTGGAAAAGGAAAAACAGTACACAACAATTAAAGAGAAAGGAACCACATGATTAAGTGGAATGGTTCTGATAAATAATAAGATTAATATGCAAGTGTGGTGAGTTAATCAAGGAAACCTTAAGAACAGCGCCATCTCCAATTAAATTCAGCTGAGATAGAATTTCCTGCTGCCATTTTTCTGGAGATGAGATGCTGGGAGAAGAAACCCCGGCTGCCATACTAGCAGCATCCAGAAGAGCTCCATCATACCTCAATTCGACATGGTCAAATGGGTTTTCAGGAATCACAAACCCATAATCCAAAAGGAAAAGATCATTGCTTAAACAGCCATAATTCAGCGTTATTGGAGTATCTTGCTCAATTTGTTTTTCTGCTACAACCTGTACAGAAAGTAAAAACTCTTGAAATCGAGGAATAAAATGGTGTCAATTTCTTTGAGTTCTACATAATTAAGTAGGGTGCAGGCAATCCAGATGATATAACAGAATCATATGTGACTTTTGAGAAATGTAACAGGAACAATTGACTTTTTTTAGAGGCTTAGAACAAATATCCAAACTAAATCACCAATACACGCCACTAAATCATCTAATCACCTATACACCCTGTCAATTTTAAGAACACTCTCACACGGTAGTCTTGCTTCATTCATCTTCGTGAAGCATGGATACTCAAACAAAGAACACAAACCACTATAAATTACTAAATTCAAGTATTTGGATGTATCAAATAGTATAGATAGTTGTTGTTTTTGTTCACTAATATAATTTCAAAGACAAAGATGAAAAAAATGGTGGCAGGAAGTAGGAATTTATGATTCATCATTATACGAGAAGCATATTTTTATATTTGAACTTTGTTAGTGTTTCATAGGTATTATTTATTAGGATCTTGCTATGAGTAAAGGCACAGCGCACAGTGGTACACAAAGCATTTAATACTTTTTGAGATCCTCTTGTTTGCTCTATATACTTCTAATATACATGATTTAGAATGATCATATCTAAGTCATTTGCGTTAAAAATTTTCATTGACGATGAAGAAAATCAATCAGAAAAAAGTCATTTGCATTAAAAAGCAACATATAACTGATGATACAAGCGAAAGAATAATGAAACCTGAAAACTGTTAAATTTAGATTGATTCTTACACACAAAGGTGCATAGATTTCAAAGAACTAAGGCAGTGTATGGCAAACCCACTAAACAAGGCCAAGTGGAGATAACATTGGTCCAAAGTCTTAATCCTAGTTTGGCAAAGTTTGGGCCAAGACGAGAACAAGTTTTGCTAGGCCAAATTTTCGCCTTAAACTAGTTCTGTTTTGATCAATCCCCAACCCTGGTTTACTCTTGAACTAGTTTAGAAAAGGACTAGTTTATCTTCCATTTGCCAAACTGAGCCTAATAATAAGCATCAGACATCATATACAATCAAATGAAATTAACTTGATACTGGATATAGAATTGAAGTGAAAGAGAGGAATACTTAGCAAGCTGCAACAGGACATCCACGCACAGTTCTCAAACCTGACAATGCTGAAGAACTTACCCTCACTAACATCTTTGAGCTGCCAGTATCTATTTCCTGTACAATACGAGCATTTGGATCAAAGCTGTGATTGCACATGTCAATTAGTGGAAGCATCATAGGGACATCACTGTCGTCACCATGCAAACGGAAGGCTCGAGAAGAGACTGCTGACATGGCCCAGCCAAGGGAAGATGCATCAACATCTTTCCCTTCAAAAGGATGATCTTTTGATGCTATACCCTCAAGCAAACTCTTGATTTCTTTCTCAAACTCTAGAAGGAAGCGGCATCTTTTATTTACCTGATAAAATTTACAACTGCTATATATCAAAGGCTTGTTTTCACTTTGATACCCCAAAGTTTACCCATTTTTACCACTTTGATAACCCAAGGTATTTTTTTTAACACTTTGATAACCCCAAAATTTCAATTTCATTCAACATTAATACCCAACACAGATCTCATCAGATTTCTGGTAAATTTGTATTACATTTATGTCCATTTTACCCAGTTGCTACGGATCCAAAAAACCAAATGTTTCCAGTAGCAATGGATGGAAGTATCATTTGCTAAGCACGTTTATCTTTTAAAAATTGTTCATTAGGCCACTTGCAAATGTTTGATGGGTAAAAACCTTCGGGTTCTATTTCGTAGTGTTGGAAACCGTTGCCGGATCAGGTCCGCTCAGTTATTGATTTTTGTTAATCCCTACAAACTTTTACCCCCCATTTCACCAATTGCTAATTCATAGTTTCACATAGTTCCTACATATATTGTATGTTTATATGTAAGCTCAATATATGTACACTTAACACAATTTCTTCACCACCAACCAGTTGACAATTATACCCGACTTTAGATATACAATATGATATATGCAAGGATATGTAAACTAACACAAGGGTAAACAAAATGAACTAGATAGTGGATGAAATAAATGACCAATGCACAATTGGCGATATAAGATAAATGCAAAAGCAAATGCGCCAATGACAAACTCAAACACACTCAAATGATCACGGAGTTCGGACCTTCCGTCCTACGTCTCCGCTCCCCACTCCCGGGGAGAAATCCACTATCACAACCAGATTTTCTACGCTCACCCGAATAACGTTTACACCTCACAATATCGGTTTTCAACGTTCACCGATCAACGTTCACTCAGATCATGAGGTAGAAGGAGAATAGTTGGATGCCCAAACACTAATAGATGATCTCCTCAAGCTCTTGTGAATTTGATTTCTCAAACTCAAACTTCCAAATGCTTAAAAGCTTCTTAAACACACTTAAACCAAACTAAAACCCTTGTTAAAACTCTTTTAAACTTGGTTGGACGAAAACGTTGCAATCTGACATCGATGCTTCCTACACAATTTCGGATAAAGATAGAAGTGGCTTTGATGAGGACATCCAGATACGTGCATGTGACTTTCGTCGTGTTTATCAGCGTAGGAGACATTCTGATATAGCCAACCATAGCAGTAAGGAGGCTCACAGGTCAATCAATACATACCTGGGTTACCTCCTGTGAGAGAGGTTGAGTTCTGTATTGAGTTGCAGCCAGGCACAACCCTGATATCCCGCGCACCCTATCGCATGGCACCAGCTGAGATGAGGGAGCTGCAGTCTCGTGAGGGTTTGCAATCTGACATCGATGGCATTTCCCTCAGGTACTAAAATTGCTTACGATTGGTATTGAGTTACACCCGGCAAGTCAAGTTAATCTCTATTTTTTGATATTGCAAGAGATATATGAGATAGATATGAACAAGAATAAGCACAAATAAGATATACGCTAAGCAAACACAAACACACGATATGTTTACGAGGTTCGGTCCCCACGACCTACGCCCCCGCTCCTCACCTCGAGGAGATATCCACTATCACAACAGGTTTGGAAGCCGGAACTTCTACACACTCGGTTTACAAGTTTACCGAAAACTCTCACACAACAAACATGCTATTTTTTGGATGCCGAGCCACCCTGGGGTGGCTCGGCCACCGAGCCACCCTGGGGTGGCTCGGCTTGGGCCGAGCCACCCCGGGTTGGCTCGGTTTAGGCCGAGTCCCCGGGTGTGTTCCGTTTCGCCGTTTTCCGGTGTTTTCCGTCTTTCAGTTCTTCGTTTGATTCGTCCGGACTTTGATTTGATAGCCCGGGTCTTTATTTGGCAGTATTTCCGCCTCGGTGTTTGAGTACAAATCTATTTTGTCGTTGGACGACTCGTTGACTTTCCGAACTGTTGGATTGGTTCCACAGGCGAACCTATGCCGTTGTTTGTGTGCTTTATCGCCTCGTCGCTCGAACATCCGTTGATTTGTCGAACCATCATGCTGAACCATGCTAAGGGACCTATAGGTAATTTTATACGCCTACAGGGACGCTTGCCTGGGAAACATTATCCTGGCCTTCCGCCGCTCGGGTGTTCTCGACTGTCTCATCGCGACGGGCCTTCTTGACCGCCTCTGCTCGAGAACTTTCGGCCGCGGTCTCCCGCTGACGTTTAGAGAGAAGCGAGCTACTCGGAGACAGAAGAGGCGCCCCCAATGAGGGACCAAGATAAAAGACAATTATACCCCTCATAGTTTCACATACTCCATGGCCTCCCTCAATAACTCACCACCAACCCCATGTCCTTTCAGGGGGGGGACTGATTTCACACACCAACATAAGATTAGGTACGTAACATTAATTTCAGTGATTTGAGGGACCAACTCGGAATTACCTAAGAGTCTAGGGACCTGATGGTAGTTTCAATTATTTGAGCCGTGTGCATGATGCGGGCCTTAGCCACGTTTGTTCTGGTTCGTGCTGGGCCCAATTGAGATATGCACCAAGTTTGGATTATAATTGAGAATCTAATAGCCACCTACAATGAATTTGGCACAGAGGTAAGTCTATGCTATATTGAAATATATTTAACATAAAGCAGTGTTAGATTGATTTGATCATATCTCTCTCTCTCTCTCTCTCTCTCTCTCTCTCTCTCTCTCTCTCTCTAAAGCTAACCTGGAAATCGAATCCAAAACAATGGAAGCCATATTGGAACATCCCAACCGTCCAGACCACTCGCAGTGGGTCGGGTTCTCCTTTATTATTATAAGTAATCATTTTTAATCTTAAACTCTGTACCTTACTATACATGGTTGCATACTAATGTATTCATCTACGTTCTACCACCAAGAGTTTTAAGCCGAACAGTTTGAACAAGTTTTTTTTTTTTCTATGAGCATATATCACGTACGCATGATCCATCCTTTTTTGCCCTAATTAAGTCTCAATAACTTTATAATAGTTTGTACTAAATCTATGTCCATTTCTTCGGTGAAATATAATTTTGAAGTTCATACTTCGTACTGCACTCATCAAGAGTCTAATAACATCTGATTTTATGCTCATAGTGAATGAAAACCGTGCATGCATGCTTGTTTCACAACTGTTCAGATTCACTCGAGGTATAACACGTTATACAGTAGGTCATATTTAGAAAAGTAAAAGAAATAATTCAATTCGAACTAAGTGAATAATTTTATGTAAACAATTTGATTCGTAAGAAAAATAATAATGAATCCCCTTTTTTTGTATCAAAAGACTATTATTGATCAAAAGAAAGAGAAAATAGTTTTCTTTTTTTTTAATTACAAAAAGTAAGGGCCTCATATAGCCCTAGCCCCATCATTGATGAATATGACGAAATGAGTTTAAAAAAATATCGCATTAGACTACTCTAGAAATTGATATAGAGAAGCAAATATAGTTCATCGTCGATAACTTTGATTTTTCACTATAATAACTAGAGCACTACTACTAGGTAAACTTTAATTGGGATGAGTGGGTGTGAATAGGGGAGCGAGAGCTTATGAATCCTGATCTCGTTCCCTTGCAAACGTGTTACCATGCAGTGTTTTGTCTCGTGACCTAGCTTCTACACTGTTTATTTTTTAGGAATAACTTTTTTTTACTGTTACCCATGTTTTTCCTTTATTTTGTTTGCTTTTGCGAAGCACGGTCTTCTCTTTTTTTTTTATCGCTATAGTAATCCTAATTTTTTAGATGCTACAATAATATATTTTTAAAAATACTATAATAATATTTTTTT